GCACGAGTAATATATCGATTCACATGTTCCTCGTGAACTGATTTTGAGAATGACTGAAGTTCATCATGGTCCAGTTTGTGAATCGTATTGGACACTTTTTGTCTTATTTAAAAATGAATTAATAGTTTATTGTTTTGACAAATTTGCCATCCACGAAACGTCTGGATGTTCATCGTCTACAGCTATTCTGTGGAAATTGTTTAAACACTGTTAATTCACTGGACATTCACGATAGGATTATGTGAATTTGTTTCTATTCTTAATTGAACAGATTACCCGAAACTAAGCCCAAAATTACTGCAAGAAAGGGTCTGGTATTTGTGAATAAAATACAACGAGAAGATCATAGTATTACCATTGAGGAAATATAGCTATTTTCTTAAAGCTATCTGAATTAGCGCAGTGGCGCTTATTCTTATTCATTTTACCACTATAGCTCTATAGTGGTAAAATGTATAAGAATAAGCGGTTACCATAGGTTTTAGGGGTTACCATCTTCAAGCTAACCATACTCCCAGCTTTGCCCAATAACATATCAATTTGCAAGATAATGAACAGTCAGAAAGGAACAATAAATGATAATAACAAAACTAAGAGGAAAGTAGTCTCGTTGACAATCGATTTCAACAAAGAAGTGATCGAGAGATACGAGCATGGTGCACGTGTGGTTCAATTAGCAAAAGAGTACGGCAAATCAGTCTCAACAATCAGTTCAATGATGGCTCATTGTCAGAAAGAAAAGTATAAGAATGCTGATGTGGCTCGGGGAGTGAAAGCGCTGACAAAACAACGCTCAAAAAGCATCGATCAGGTGGAGAAGTTACTCTTGATATGGATTAACGAGATGATTGCTCTGGGCAATAGATTGTCCGATGCTGTGATTTGCAATAAGGCAAGGATGTTGTTTGCTGAGTTATCGCACACAAATGAGGAAACGCAACCGTTCAAAGCAAGTAGGGGATGGGTTGATAAATTCAAAAGACGAGTCGGTATTTCCGATCTCATTCGATGTGGCACTGCTTATCGAGCGATTCTCACTAACACGCCGAGCACTTCCAATGATAGCAGCAATGAACACATGCAACAGACGCCTATCGGCGAGAGTTATGGAAATAGTGCAGATTCAGATGGACTACTGATTCACGATCAGTTGTTTAGTATCGATGAAACAAGTCCATTTTGGAATGAATT